TAAGTGGAAAAACTGATTATCTACACTTAACAGAAGTAGCATGGAAAAGGAAAATATACAGATCCAACTCTGGTAAAAATAGAGGTCATTTGTTACTTCACAAGCTTTAGCATTCATAATTTTCAGGCTTCCATGATGTTATTAATAGCATCTTGACTGTGATATACTGTAGACAATGGGTAGGCTGTAACCTAAATGACTTTAGTTTTTGGTTGGAAAGTTTTGCCCAGAAGGATGTTTATGAAAAGGCAAAAATAGTGAACAGCATTGGCCCTTGAAATGATTGCTGTACCAGATTTTCTGGAGCTAGCCTTTTGTTAAGAACACCTGTGTCCATGCCTGGGACAAAATCATCATTTTAAGTGATGGTTATCCATTATTGTTTTGAGATACATTTGTTTCTCATAAGTCAGTTATTTATTTGTCCTGTCTCTTGAGCATAGGCGACTCAAAGAGGACAGGAGAGCTCTCTAAGGTATCGGAATAGTTTTTATGTGGAAGAGGAGCTCTTTACAGCGTTGTTGTAAAGGTTGTATGGTGGAAGATTGGGCTAACTCTACATTTTTCAGACTTCAGATACAAATATATGTTTATATATAATAAAGATCAAATTTTTATATAGAGTTAACATTAATTGTGTACTTTTATGTACTAGGTCCTGTTTTAAGTACGTTATGTATGTTAACTTCCTTAGGCCTCTTACAACTCTTCGAGGTGTGGTACTGTTATTTTCCCTCTGCTCTGGTTATTGATCCCCAGATGAGAAGACCAAGCACAAAATGGTTAAGAAACTTGCCCAATGGCTCACGCCTGTAATCTCAGCACTTTGGGAGGCAGGGGTGGGAGGATCGCCTGAGGCCAGGAGTTTCAGACCAGCCTGAGCAACGTAGTGAGACCCCCGTCTTTACAAAAGTGCGTACCATAGTCCCAGCTATTCAGGAGGCTGAGGCAGGAGGATAGCTTGAGCCCAGGAGTTTGAGGTTGCTGTGAGCTAAGCTGACGCCA